TTCCTGTGGGAAATCTGGGAGGGCGGCCTGACGTGGTGTGGCACACTTTGTGCCTCAATCGGACTGGCCGCTCGCTGGACTTATTGGTTGGCCACTGCCACCATCATATTGGGAACCCTGCAACTGACCTATTGGTCCTTCGTCTGGGTGATTAGACCCATCTTGATAGTGGCCTACGCATTGACCCGGTACGTACTAGGACATGGATCCTGGGAAGCTGTACTTCGTGGTAGCGGGGAGCTCCCGTACGAGGTCAAGTGGGTGGGGCCGCGAGGCCAGCAACCGTGGGCCGTGAACTATGTGCAAGATCAAGTTCGAGGCCGAGGAGAACAACAGCTGCCTTACGACCTACTGGTCACAGATGGTGTGGCCGTAGCGCGACTGAGACACGGTGCGATACGGGGGCGAACCAACCGGCACGGATTTCTCTGTCGGTGCGACAGCGTACACGGCTCCTCGCACCGCTATTGGAGACGCGCAATCGAACGTACGCAATGCGTAGTGCACTTGTGCTCCTCGTACCCCTGCACAGCGCCAGAAGTAGCCGAACTGCATGTGGGAGCGAGTGGGGTCGCCCCCCAACATGTGGACGTTGACCTACATGAACTAGCAGGTCGGGGTCCTTTTTGCAGGGCTCTTTTTGCGTCCCGTTTTATGGCCCTTAGGAGCATCTTGAGTTTAAGCGCTGGGTTGCGGGCCACTGTGCGGGCTGTTACCTCATGCTGCTGTTGCCCACGTGCAAAACACCCGAGGCGCGTTTCGCGACCGGGTCGAGAGGAGGAACAGACCCCGAGGCACGACCTCTCGGAGACCGAATCCGAAGAAGATGAGAATCCTTGCCAAGCGGATGCTATCGGCTGGAAGGAAGGTTCGCAGGTTAAGCGGTTGAGCAAAGAGAGATGCAACGACGCTGCCTGTGGATGGGTCCGGCTTATGGGCGACGACGCACACCAGAGTAGCTCTAATGAACTCACATGGGATGGCTTACAGGCTAGCTGTCAGTTATGCGCCAGACACAAGGAGAGTTATGAACTCTCTAAGGCCCGCAGGTCATGCTCCGTAGAAGGGTGCGAAAAGGCCGCTCAGACCCTGAGAGGGGGGGTAAGGCTGTGTCGATTCCACGCAAGCAAGGAAGAAAAGCCAACAGCGCCTCGTAACGCGGCTGGGCCCGGGCG